TGGAACATACGTTTAAATTTAGAGATTTGTATGTGCCGAAAATTAAAAACTTCGAAATTAAAAAATTTTTGCGATTTTATTTTAACATTGTTTGATCAAACCTAAAACTTTAGAAAACTACTCTTAAAATTTCCAGATTTTTCTAATTTCCAAACCATAAGTCTTTTAATTTTGGTGTTAAAATTCTCAAAGCTAAACTTCATATTAAGACTTTTTAAGGCTAAGATAAAAATTTTCGAAAATTTTTGAACTTTAAAGCTTAAAAAATACCAAAAGTTCGCGATAATAAAACTAAAAGCAAAGTAAAAAATTTTAACAATCTTATTGTGGCTTATTAAAATTTTAGTTTTAATATTTTTTACTGAGCTTTGTACCACGATTATTTATTAGGAAAAATTGAAAAAGCAACAAAGTCTAGGCGGTAGAAGTTATAGCACTATTTCGGAGATCACCACATCTCCTCATCAGACTTCTTTTTTCTAGACTTCAGCAGGGATCGAACCTGCGTAATCAATGTTCAAAGTCAGAAGCGTGATCTCCGAAATAGTGCTATAACTTCTACCGCTTAGACTTTGTTGCTTTTTAAATTTTTCCTAATAAACAATCGAGGTAAAAAGCTCAGTAAAAAATATTAAAAATAAAAAATTTTAATATAGGCCCGAAGTCACGAGCTTAGCATTACAAATTTTCAAGGCTTTTAAGCCGTTATTTTTGAATGTTCTAATGCCGCGGGCAATCAATACTTCAAAAGTAGAAACAAATTAGGTATTCGTGTTTATGTATAGTGCGGAAACCAAAAAAAAATTATTTTCACAACTTTTATGCATTATATTTAAAATCGCAGAAATTCTAACCTTGGAAATTTAAAATTTTTCTTACATACTTTTTTATTGAAAGCCTATTAAATGTACGGCTTTCTTGGCGGCTTTTATTACTTTTTACAAACTTTAACAAATTATTTACTTTTTGCTACTTTCTTTCACTTTTTGCTACTTTATTAAAAAAATGTATACGTAACTAAGCTCCAAAAATAGCCGATGTAGACTCGCACAATCTTTGACAATGTACCAAGTTAAGCACGGCTCATTTCACTGCCTCGCGTGAGTTAAAACTGCGTAGCCTTTTGTTCAAAAAAGTTTTATGTATATTCTCCTATCTCTCCGTTTGTATTGTTTTATGCATTTCTATTCAATTTGTTTCCGCTTTTATTACTTTCCTTGTAACGCTCGGTTTGCTTAACGATTTGATTAATTAAGGCCACTGGCTGCTAGTGTATTAACGCTAAATTGAAATGAGCTGAGTTGCGCTGAGCTAAAGGCTACTTCGCGCGAACCATAATAGAAATTTTTGAATTATTAACGCAGCGTAAAACACTTAATTAGCAAACAAAGCGGAATTTCCTAGACAAGCACTGGAAAACAAAAGAGCAAAAATTTTATAAGCAAAAATCAGAAGAGAACGAGTACGGAGAATGGAAAGCGAAAGTGAAAAAATTATGAATGTAAAGTTAAAAATGAGCAATGAGTATAATGAATATAGGAATTAGCCTAAAGGAGAAAAAACTTAGTAAAGAAGACTTACGCAACAACATATTAAAGTAAATTGTATACAAAAAAATTAGATTAAATAAAAAGCAAATTTGCTATTTTGGCGTAGGTTTCCACAAAAACTGATGAAAAATATTCCAAGTGCCCTAAGCCCTTAATTTATGCCTCACTCCAGGACGACTGCGTCTATGGGAAAAAAATGTCAGAACAAAAATTATTTCCTTATCATAAAAAAAAAAAAAACGAATTTAAATTGCCTCACTTTCAGCTAAAAAATTGCTTAAAATATTTTTTCAGGCCTCACTCCACACTTAAGTACATTTGTTCATAACAAAATTGACACTATAGACCCACCAATTTTCCCCAGAGCTTACCACTCCGGCTGCTCTTACTTAATACTTTTTATTTTTTCAAATCAATTAAAGCCAATTATTTTTATTGCGCATCACTTTTCGCCTTTTGTTTACCTTTTCGCTTCATCACTCACAACCAACTTCCGAACAACTTTTCGTAAGAACTTTCATTTAGATTTGCCTTCCGCGTCAAGTCATCGCCCAAAAGTTAGTTACATATACCCGTGCGCTCTGTTACACACGTATTACGTTACGTGTATATGCGTCAAAAATATGAAATATGAAACATTGTATCTTTAATCTCTGGCTTTTCGTCTTTTTCTCCCTCATCGCCTTTACTTTTGTAATGTAAGTAAGTGGACAGCGCAGCAACATTTCCCCAAAGCATAAACTATGAGAATCAAAAACTTCCTGGCAATCGTAAAAGCAAGAAAAAATAAGCAAATTAGATGTAAACAACAGTTTCATCTAAAGGCGAAGAGCAGTAGCCGGTGAAGGATAGCGTAATATGGCTTCAATATCCAAATAAAGGAGCTAAATGCAAGTTGACACTTTCACAAATAAAATTCTTTAAAATTGTAGACCTCTGGACGCCAACAAAGAAGTGAATCTTTTTAAGGGCAAATAACGGGACCATAGATACTTGAGCTTTTATCTACCTTAATGGTTGTCGATGTTGTTTGGTTGGTATGCTTAAAAGATCAGTGGGCTCCAGATAGGGCTCCCTAGCACAGATAACTGAAGTAGTCCTAAAGTTCTTACTTATGTTTCGGTAAGCCACGACGAAGATATCAATAAAAATATCGATTAATGACGAAAAAATATCGATGACGCTGTCAGCTAAAACTATTGATTAATAACGAAAAAATTTCAAAAAATTTACTAGAAAAATATCGATGAATATATCAAAAAACAAAAATATCGATAAGCGTCGATTAATATTCTAACACAAACATCGATTCATGCACAAATAAAAAGCCCAAAGGCTTTTTTGATAAAAATTTCGATTATGAAATCTTAAAAAGATCGATAAAATGCTATAAAGTGTCGATGTGTGAAAAAATATCGATAAATAAATAGGTATATGGAAAAATGTCGATAAAAATACCGACCAAAGCCAAAAACATATTGACAAATAAATTTAAAAAAATATCGATAACATAATCGATGAAAACATCGTTGAATGGTGATGAGTATTTTAAGATCAAAATCGATTTATACACAGATATCAATATCAAGAAAAGTTTTGATAAAAACTCTGATGCATATATCGATAAAATGTCGAGAAGTATTGAAGTTTAAATGACAAAGTTTTTTGTTAATTTACGGTCACTTCGCAACACAGCATTGTGGGGGTTAAGCGCAGGTTAAATAATTTTTCTTTTAATTTTCTTGTAGTTGAGTTTGGGCTGCTAAATAGTTATGTTAAGGAAACAGTGGTTCGTTTTCTCGTTCTATTTTCGGAATTTGGCAAACTCCAAATTGATTTTAGAATCATGGCTTCTTCGGTAAATTTGCTTAGAAGTACACGTAGAATTCTCCTCCTATGCTATGCGCGCATTGTCAAAAAAAAATTGACCCGCCCTAATATATATATATATATATATACATATTCAATCAATGCCTCTACATATAATATCTACAGCGGTAATAACCGCATTTTTATAATTTCAAAAATTTTAAGATTTTAATCAGAATCACAGCTGGTGGTAGCATAATCATTCATAATTAAGTGTAATAATAGAAGTGTAAGTGAGGTTAGCATAAAGCGCGAGTGATTCAAAGAAAATAATTTGAAAATAAACTAAGAAACGCTGCCAAAGTGGAAGCAATCCAATGAGATTTTAATAAAAAAAATTTAAAACAATTGTAGAAAAGCCAAAATTCGCTTTGCAGAAGTTCGGGGAGATTTTAAAATGTAGTTAAATAAATAATCATACACACGCGCCGCATGAAAAGTTACCTGCAGCGAGCGCGAAAATTGTAGCGAAGAAATCAAAGAAAATACAAAATATTAATGAAGAAATGTTAAGCGGCGGAAATCCGCAGGAAATTCATCGGCTTATTTTGTATGCGAGAAGAAAATGTACTCATACATTTGTACGTAAAAATAATAAGCAGGCACTTTGTATGCCAGCGCCGCAACATAAAGCTCAACTGATTAAATATTGGTTTATTGCAGTCAAAAGAAAGAAAAAAAAAAAAAATCATACAAATTAAGGAAAAACTAACCAAAATGCCAACAAGTTATAAAGAAAATTTCACTCGTATCAAAAATAAACACATTTGTATGTACACACGTATGCCATGCTTCATACGTACTGTCCAACTTATTGCTATTATTATGATTATTATCATCCTTGGAGATTATTGTTATTACTATTATGGGATTTCTTTGGACTTGCAGAGCGCTTTTGAGTTGCTCAAGAAAAAATTGTGAAGAAATGAAAAGGAAAACAAAATTTCTTTGCTCATAAACAACAACTTAGCATTTTTGGTAATTTTTTTTTGCTTTTCGAATAACTTTTTTATTTACTCTTACGACTTTTGTTTGTCATTTATTTATTTTTTGCCAGCAACTTAGCTAGCCAATGGCACATGTCCTGCCATCGTGCTTCACTTACAACTCACTAGAACTTTTTCCATTGTTGTTTGCATCGTTGTCTTCGGAGATTTATGCTTTATTGATATTATATTAAATTTTCAAATACATATGTATGTAGCCGGCTGCGTGTACGTGCACACACACTCCCGTCTTTGACTAAGTTTATCTGACATTTCAGTTCGTTTGCGTAGCACACATCCCGCTGAGTTGAGTTGGCTGGCAAAGTGTGTCAAGGATACGGCAAATAATTGCGTACATACATATATTTACAATTCAGAATAAAGATGTAATATTATAAGAAAGCTTTGCAGCTGAGTTGAAAGAGATTTGCGCATTTTTTCGAGTTGCACGAAGTAGCAGTTTTTATTAAGTAAAAAATGTTTAATAATACTGCTAACAGGATATTAAGATTTTCGGGTGCATATTTTATGTGTACATATACATACATTAATTACGCAAAATATTTAATTTATTTTAATTTTTTCCCCGTTTTAGAACCCTCGCCACTGTACGATAACAATCACTATCACGAGGAATGCCTGCGTTGCAATTCGTGCGGTTTAAATTTGACGGGTCCAAATCAGAAGCGCGCCAGGCGATTCAAGGTGAGTGTTGGAGCGGAATTTTTATCAAGCAGTTTGTACTAAAAAACGAGTACTAAATATTGTGTACTAAAAATTAGTACTAGAAATTGTATACTTAAATATTAACACCAAAAAAATGTTTGCAACTAAAATTTAGTACTAAAATTTTTTACTGAAAATTAGTACTAAATTCTGTTACGGAAAACAGCACTGGAAACTTACTATTAAGAAACAGAGCTGTGCTAAAAAATACAATTGAAGCCTTATTTCACACCTAATGATTTAGTACGAACTTTAGCATTAAAATTAATTTTTTCGAAAACTTAGTAGGTACTAAAAACAGCTGCACCAAAACGCAAAAAGATCTTACTACAAATTGACGACGTAAACATACGTACTTAATTCTTTACTACATCCATGAGCTATACGGCCAAAAAATTTTAACAGCGAAATTCAGTACAAAAATTGTACAAAAATATTATTGCTAAAAATAGTGGTAAAAATTAAATATTTTGTACTAAAGAATTTAGGCCGAAAAATGATGAAATACTTAAATATTTGCCACATTTTTTATTGAAAAATTAGTACTAAAAAGCAGTGTCAAAAAAACGACATTCTTACGTATTTACTACCAAAATTTAGAGCAATCTTTAGTACTAAAAACAGTGCTAAAAAGTTCAGTCTCCTCACTAAGAAAATTAGTGCTAAAATTTTATAGTTGGGATAAAAATGTATGCGAGAACATAGTAAAAACTTTCCGTACAAAATTGTGCGGTACACAGTTTTAGCATGTTTTAAGTACGCTGAGCTAAAAATATATATTTTTTTTTTTTTGAAGAAATTAAAGAATTGAAATATATAGGTACTGTTATCTTAACTAAAATTTGAATAAAAAAAAACAAGTTGTATGCAAATAAAGACGTAAAAATATGTACTAAAAATTCGGTGCCAGAGTTTTACCAAATTTTAACACTAAAAATTTGAAAGGTGTTTCCTAAATATTTTTCACTACAGATGTTTCCAAAAAATTGTTTAACATACTTCTTGGACGATCTAGACATTTCTAACAAAATTATGTACTCACAATTATAATAATAAAAATTAACAGCAAACTTTCAACACACTTCAATTTTAGTACTAAAATCCGTACTTTATTTCTCTAAAATACTTTACAACATCCTAAGTACTACATTTGCATGTACTCATTTTTCTTACTAAATTTTTCGCGAGTGCTGTACTTATTCTGTTTATTTAAAATCCAAATTATTTTCTCTCCCTTTCGCCCTAAAAAATTTGTATTTTTAGTACTAAGTACTCTGCTTGCTAAACTTGTTCAAATTGTTTATAATCCTCTAGCTTTATTGCATTTACTGCGATGTTCAGCTCTCGAGTGCTCAATAACTGAAGTTCCTTTCTCGTTCTCTTTCTTAAATTTTAGTACTACGATTGCCGTTGTCTGCTAAAAAGGAAATGCCTTTTTCCGTGAGTTATTTTACTTTGGGCAGTAAATATCTAGTACTTAATTTGTGGTAATAATTTTTTTTTTTCAACTGTGTAAAACCAAATTTTTAGCATTAAATTGTTAGTACTAAATTTTTAGTACTTAAATTCTTCGTACTAGATTTTTGCAAATGAAACCTTTTTTTTGTGAAATTGTTTTTGCTCATTTATTCCTTTTAGGTTTGCCTTAGTTATTGTTATGTAGTAAATTTTTGATAAGTTCCAAGAAACAATCTTATTTTTCTTAAGTGTTCTTATTTAATATTTTTTTTTAATAGAAGACGTTTTTCGTATTATTTTTGTTTAACCGAAACGTTCAAGACTTCCTACAAATCTCCTAATTTTTTAACTTTTTTATTCTTTTTATATTTTTTACTTACATATATTTATACATTTGTATTACACCAGAAGTTTAGCATTTTTTTTGTGGCGAATTACTTAATTGACATACATTTTTGAGAATATACAGTAGTCATACCAAATTGCATTTAGATAATTTTTGGAATTATATAAAACTTTGCTCATACTTCAGTATGTAAGCAAAGGAAAATAACTTTCAACCACACCCACCATCGACCACAAATCACATAATACGAGCACTAAGCGGCGTTCATTCAAGGCAAAGCGTGCCAAAGTTTGCACTCGAACAATCGTCGTTACTCACTCACGCACCCACACAAGCCGACAGTGACAGCTGCGCCAAGTTCAAACCACAATGGAACTTGTTAGCAAACTATTTACACAGAAAACGCAGAGCGGAGTGTAAGTGAGTAAGTAAGACTGTTGGCAAGGATAACATATCCTTTCTTCACGCGCTTATTCACTTATTTACGCCAAACACTCGAAAAGCACTCGTTTCGCCATTCTCTAAGCCAACTAAGCGCTCCGCTAGCACGTGCAGACCAATTCGAGTGCGGCGTGTGGAAAGCGCATAAAAGAAGTTTCAACACATATGCCACACGTACATACACATGTTAATTATGTATGTATGTGTGCGGCTTTACAGCGCCACAGCTTTACGGCGAAAGTGCTAGGCGAAAATTTTGGGTAGTTTGAGCTGCCACACTTGAATAAATAAATGGCAAAGCCGCATTAAAATTTTTCGTAGAAACCGAATGCGAATAGCACATGAAGGCACAAAGTGCTGGTGAAAGTTTAAAACAATTTTTTGATTTTTTTTTTTTTTTTTTAATTTCATTGATATTTGCGAACAGGCTCACGTTCGGCAGTAATCAGCCGCAAGCGACAAATTCATTTATCAATTTTGGCAGCGAGTTCAATGCGGTGGTTTGGCGAATGCTTACGAGAGTGAAAGGGGGTGAGACAGCGGGAGAAGAGTGAGAATATAGAATTTTTAGTACTAAAATTATTGTGATTGTAGTAAAGCGCAAAAGTACTTTGGCAACAACTAAATAATAAAATTGCTACGAGATTGGTAGGGGATAGTAGAATTTTAGATTAAGTGTAGCTCTACACAGATTTTGTACTAAAGTTTTAGTACTAGCAACATCTTATGTAAACACTTTATGGTGAAGTAGAAACACCCTGGCAACAATTACCAACTTAAAAATTCAATTTAGTTCTAAAATTTTTAGTACTTAATTTTCTGTACTAATCGTTGCCTATTCAGACACAATAATTTTGAAAAGAATATAATTTTGTATTTACTAGTACACACAACACACTTTTGGTTTTGAAAAATCTGAGAAATTTTAGTTCTAAAAATTTTAGTACAAGTGTTCGTAGCAAATGCCCAAACAACTCTGCTACATAATAACCCTAAACAAAGGGAGTCGAATTTTAGTACTAAAAAATTAGTACTCAAATTTTAGTACGAAGAAATAAACTTAATTATTTTTTTTTTAGTTTTCATGTATATTTTAGTTTTCAATGACATAAAATTCATAAATTTAGAGTAATAAAAATTTATTTAATAGTCGGAGCAATGAAAGCTGGTACTAAAAATGTTACTATCTTTTTTTGTTTTCAAAAAATAACATGTACTAAAATTGTTCTTATCGCAGATTGAAGAAATTTTTACGCTCATAAACATAAAAAATTTTAATAAAAGTTAGGACTTAAAATTTACTAAACTTTCAAATTGAAAACTTTCATAAGGAAATTATAAAAAAAACCAAATAAAAAACATTAAAAAAATGAAAAATAGGTTCTTTCGACTAACTACATATATAGCACTATTCTTGGCGAGATTTCAGTTACTATATTGGTTGGAAATATATGTGTACTTAAATTTAAACTAACAAAACTTTGTAAAAGAGAGCAGAAGTCATAAACCGCGGCTTTCTAGACAAATTTTATCCATTTATATAATTTTAGCACTAAAGGAACACAACGCAATGTCTTAAACAAATAGAACCCAAAGACTGGTAAGTCTTCATTAGCTGAAAATTTTCAGCCATTTCTATCTGACAGTAGCTTTTCAAGCAGTCAATTTAGTACTAAAACTTTTTATAGCATTTAAATTTAGAACTTTTTTTAGCAGATACTTAAATAAGAAATTTTATTTAGTACAAAATTTGAGTCCTAAAATTTTAGCTCTAAACGGATGTAGTAGAAACTATATTAAAATAAAATTTATATCAGAAAATTATGTAACCTGAGAACGAACAAAATGACTGGCGTGCTGTTTTGGACTCGGCCAAAATCGCTTAGGCGGTTACAGCGCCAAATAAGAAGAAGAAGGGAGAACGAACAAAGTACTAACTCTTTATAGACTAAAATTTAGGTATTTAAAATTGTATTAGTACACAAATTTACAAAGCTACATTATAAATAAAAAACATACCAAACACGCAAGCTAATTACCGTCCACACACCACCTTTCCATCCACAAAATTTCCAAACTCTTTTGCAAGAAACCAAAAATATTACACATTTTTTGCACAAAATATTCCCACTTAACTTCGATGTTTCTACACAAATTTTTTTCCTGCACCCTTTCTTTCTCCTTAGATTCTTTTTTCATCATCTCTTCTCCACTCTACCACTCTCTTACAGAACCAAATTCTCTGCGACCTGCACTTCGCAGACGTTGCCCTAATGGAGTGCTCCGATTTTATGCAACAGCTGCGAAGCTTCAAGCCACAATCACTGGGTTGCGCCGTTGCGAGACGAAAAAGTTCAACAACATTAATTTTTCCGTTGCCGCCGCAAGCATGTTCAGGTATGTACAACTGTATGCGTGTGTGTGTTTAGTACGCGTGGCCACAAAGCAAAAGTGGTACCGCAGCCACTGCTCTAGCTTTGCTTGAGTTTTTAATTTAAAATCTTAGACGGGAACTTTTAACCCAACTTCAGTCGGTTAAACATTTTTTCTTCGCTAAGGCAAAATTTTTAAGATATTATGGGAAAAATTAGGCAGACATGCTTTGGTTAGGGGGAGCGTAGCAGAGCAACATCAAAGAAACGTTTCATAAATATGTATGTAGTAAAGACGCGCGATAGCGCAAAGCAAAGGGATCGCTTTTTGTTTCTTGTTATGTCTGTGCTTGCGGGCCACTTGGAATCTTAGTTATGAGCGAAATTTTATGCAATAAACTTGTGTGCTTTTGCCATAAAAAAATTATTTTGTCCTAAGTACTGAAATGCTAAGGGAATATGTACCTACTGCTAGGAAAATATTTCCTAATATATATTTGAATGTAGGTATGTAACTATATAACTAGGCACCCTTGTGTCAAAAAATCATTTCGTGTACCAAAAACTGTATTTTGGTAAAACTGTTCGTCAAAATTAAAAAATAAAAATGGTTTATGCCAAAACTTGTAAATGAATTGTTGTTAAGGTTTGTTACATGATTTTAAACAAAACATTCTTAATTTTCAAGTTTTGTTTTGTTTGTTTTTAATTTTTTTAATAACAAATTTTAATTTTGCTGATAAAATTTTTTTCATGTAGAAATATCCTCTAACAAGCACTAAGCACAATAATTTTAATTTACAAACAATTTTAAATTTTTTATTTCCAAATTCGCATTGATTGATAATTTTTTAACGAAATTTACAGAAGAAAATTTGAAAAGCAAGCAAACTTTTAACTAACCACTGTAGGGCTACAAATACTTTTCGTATTATAAATCATAGAAAGTGTCCATAAAAATTAACATAAGTAAAATTTATTCCTTAAGTAACGAAAGCTTGATTATTAAACCTCTTCCTTCGAAAAATTTATGAAGTCACAAAAAAACATTTTAGACAATAATTTGGAGTTAAAATTTTGTATGTAGTTAAAAATGTTGTGCTAAAAAAATTTTTGAGTAAAAAAAAATTAAGCCAAAACTTCGAACTTTCAATGAAAATAGTTAAATACAAAAAATTTTAACTTGAAACATTCCTGTCCAAAAATTTATAAACTATGTTTATGTAAATGTTTATGCAAAAAAACCATTTTTTCTAAAATTCTGTATCAAAGCTATTTGTACCAAAAGCTTTTCATTCTAAAATCTTTTTTACTAAAACTTTTTCAAATACGTTTTTGAAAAACAAAATCTTTTAGGGCAAACATTTTGTAGAAGACTTATTTAATACAAGCTTTTTCAGTACATACATACTTTTTTAGAAGATAAACACTCTCAAAAACTCCGATAAATTGTATGTCAAAATTTGCCATTCCTTAAAAGAATTCAATTAAAGTTTTCTTAATTACTTAACTAAAAATGTTTTTGATACAGAATCTTATTTTATGGCCAATTGACTTACAAATTTTTATCCAAGAATTTATAGTTCATTTTATCTTAATAAAAATAGTTTACTAAAAAAATTGCATGCTAAAAATGCTTATACTAAAAAGATTTATAGTATGCTTAAAAATGCTTCTAAAAATTTCAATTTTCAATCTAATATTTTTCCGCTAATTTCGTATAAAAACATGGTTCATTCTACAACAAAAAACATTAAAATATAAATCCTAAACTTTGTGCAAAACTCGCGAAAATTCAGCAAATTTTCATTAAAATTTTCAACTTTTTAAACAGGTTTTTTAGAATTTTTTTGAGTATGCAGATTTGTATCCCAATCAATTTTTTTATAATAAAGTGCAAGTTTTAAGTTCGTTGATTTTTGTCAATTTTTTTCACGCAGTCTCTTCCATACAAAATTTTTTTTCGAAAATACTTTATATGGATAAAATGCGAAACACCTTCACAAAAAAAAAAAAATCTCAAAAATTAACGCGATTTTTGACTAACTCCGAACTTTCATTTTTTTTTACTAGAAATTCTAAAAATCTGATTAAAAAGTTGAAAATTTTGATCAAAATTTGCTGATTTTTCTCGAGTTTTGTACAAAACTTTGGAATTATATTTTTATGTTTCTTGTTGTTGAATGAACCATATTTTTATACAAAATTGGCGGAAAAATATTTGAATAAAAATTGTTGCATATATTGTGAAAAATTTGCTGTGCCAATACTTTGTTCCGGCAGTGTATGTAATTTCTGGCACTTGACTGCCAAGATTTTATTTCATTTTTCTAGTTTTTTTCGCTGTCTGGGTCATTCTAGCATTGCCTATTGGCAGGCATTAACCCGCTCTAATTCTCACCCTCACACAGTTTTTTGTGCCTTTGTCCTTCTCGGTTTTATTTTCTTTTTTATCAGCCACTTCTGCTACGCTCTGATGGTCAGCCACGCTTGCCGCTTGAATAGCCACCAACGAATAATAAAACGTGGAAAAAATGGGGAGGCTAGGCTGGTAATAAGAAATAAAATTTAGTGCATGGAATGTATGAAAATATTTGAGTAAATATTCAAGAGCTTTAGTTGCAGCATTATGAGGACGGTACATTGAAATAGGATAACTAAATGAGGCAACAAAGTGTGGTGGAGGTGGAAAGACTGATGTTAATGAGTAAGCAATCGTGCTAGAGTCTTGAGGAAATATTTGGTGCTTGCGGAGTTGAAAAAAAAAACATATCTATAAAAAATTTAAATACTCGTAAGAATTGTTTTATAAAAAAAGTACAAAAATGTTGCCTCGTTCATAAATTCTCGCCCACAAAACTCGTTACACCATGACGTATGAGCAACTTTTTGACGTAAATACATATATTGCATTTGATATTCTTAGCACAAAAAATTGCGAACAAATGCGCTATACAAATTAAGTTTACTGCATTTACGTGTTACCTGAAAACGTTACATAGCATAACCGCCGTGACGTATGAGTAATATTTTATGCTAAATTGACGTCTATTGCCTTAAATCAACAGCAAACTGTGAGCTAGAGTGATGGCATTAATTATGAAAGCAGCTTTGCTGCGATGCTGGGGTGCATTGTCTACCAGTGAGGCGAGGCGCTTACAAGTCGGTCGGACTTACGTCAAAAGGGAAAACAATGAAACGTAAATATGCAATACGTTCACGAATTAAAAATAATACCAGCAGCAGCAACTCACGTGAAACATTATGAAAAGCAAATACTCGTAACTATTATTGAAGCAAACACAGAGAGTGGCAGTGAGTGTATGGGGGGGGAGTGGGAAGAAAAGTGTAAAAATAGAAAAAAATTCGCTCGACCTGCAATTGTAAATGTAAAGACTTAATGGCAGACTTTGTCGCAAACATTTTTCTATAGTTTTCTAAATTTCATTCGTCCATATTCCGCCAAGGGTCTGACTGTCTGGTATTTATAGCTGTTGCGTGGCTGCCATGCAAGCGCCATTCAACAAAGGACCGCGTTAACTGCGCGACATTTGCAACATAATGAGGCTCTAATGCATTTAACACAAACAACGGCACACACTTACAATCAAAAAACATGCATTAAATACCCACTGCAGCCAACTGCCAACTGCATTTTTTCAAATTTTTTTTCTGTTTGTGTACTTCTAAATAAATACGGGTATATGCATTTGTATGCGCATTCGCTTAATGCTTGCCAGGCGCTAATGTGCCGTTAGTCGGCGCGCAAGTAAGCATGAAAAATGGAAAAGAGAGTTGAAAAAGGAAAGGACATAGGGCAGCAAAGCTGCATTGCAGTCCGAGTGCAGACGGCGAGGACAAATAAGTGATGCAAAAACGGAACTAACTGTTTTGTTTGTGCAATTACAGATGTATATACATATGTAAGTGTGTAAGTGTATGCATTGCACACCACTTACATATGTAGTATAATATATTAAAAATGTATTCAATTAAAAATTTATTTAATTAAAAAAATTCGAATTGAATTTTTTTTTCTTGAGGAATTCGTCGCAGAAACATAAAGTACCAAACACTTTTTGGATAAGAAAATGTTTCTTAAATAATTCTTAGAACCAAAAATATTCAGAACTAAACATTTAGCACTAAAAATTTTGTACACACTTAAATGTTAGAGCTATACATTTTGCAGTTAAAGCTTAGTATTGAATATTAAATTCTAAAAATTTAGTACTAAAAAATGTTTTTCATAAAAATATAAAAAATTTGTTATTTTTCAACTAAAAACATTGAACAAACCGTTGTGTACTAAAATTTTCGTAGTAAAGACTTTGCATTTGAACCACAAATTTTGTATAAAAAAAAAATTTACTGAAAAAAATATGGCAGTTGTGCACTAAATTAAACCAAGAACTTTGTAATGGAAGATCTTGCAAAAGTTTAGAGCTTGAAAACTGGTGGAATATAACAATTTTGTACTAAAAATTTTGTGCCTAAAAAAATTTTCTAAAAAAGTAGTACCAAACCACTTCATATTGAATATTGTTGTACTTAAACTTACTACTACAAAAATATACTTTTAGACTGCATACTTAAAATTTCAAACCAAAAACTTGTGTACTAAAAATTTAAGTTAGCAAATTTTGAACTAACAAATTTTTGTAGATACCTCAGCTTTTGGTTTAAAAGACTGTGTAGTAAAAATTTTTTTGAGTACTCAAATTTGTTTGTTAAAAAAAGACCTAAAACGCAATACAAAAATTTACTTAAAAAAATTTCCCAAAAAAAAACTACGATAACAGATTTGTGCTATAAGCTTTTTGTAAAACATTTTTTTCTACAAAATGCAAAAACATTAATTTAAACATTATTAGTTAAAGAAAGTTTCTTCAATCGATTATTAAACAACAGTGTCGAAGGGTTTCTACTTTAGGTGTGTTTACTAATAAAAATTAATTTGAAAAATTTAGTACTAAATTTCATGTACTAAAAAGGTAACAGAAAACATCCTACACACGCCTTATT